TCTATTGCGCTGATGCAAATCTCCAAGACCACTTCTGACTTTTGGCTGTCATATTGGACGCAAAATCGAACACCGCAGTCTGGCAGCAGTTCAATGACTTATCTGTACATCTTTATCGGCATTGCCATTCTCAATTCAGTATTCACTCTGATTCGAGCTTTCATCTTTGCGTACGGTGGCATCAAAGCTGCAGTTGTTCTGCACAATCGACTGCTCACCACGGTTCTGAAGACGTCGCTGCTCTTCTTTGACTTGACAGCATTTGGCATTATCATCAATCGCTTTAGCAGTGACATCTTTCAAACCGATGACGCACTGCCATTTACATTGAACATATTTTTGGCACAAGTGAGTGGCCTGGCAGCCAGCTTAGTGGTCACTGTTTACGGACTACCTTGGATTTTGATCATTGTCCTGCCATTGATTATTCCGTATTACTTTATTCAGGTAAAAATAGCGGTAAGAAAAAGGAGCCATTTTTAAAAGTTATTTTGTTTATCACACAGAAATACTTTCGAGCTACATCCCGCGAGCTGAAGCGCCTTTCTGCTGTGTCACTCTCGCCAATTTACTCTCTGCTAGATGACACCATTCAAGGACTGACCACAATCCGAGCATTTGTTCAGTGCGAACGCTTCAAGATGCACTTCTACGAATCGGTGAATGTGTACAACCGCATTCAGTACAGCATCAACGCCGTACAGCAGTGGCTGAACCTTCGCCTGCAACTGCTCGGGGTGGTGGTCACTGCGGCAGTGGCGCTAATCGCTGTCGGTCTGCACTACTACCACGCAGAGGCAGTTAATTCAGGGCTGATTGGTCTGGCCTTGGTGTACTCGCTTTCACTCACTAGTCTACTCAATGGGTCGGTGCAGACGTTCACGCAAACAGAGATGGACTTGATTTCCGTTGAGAGGATAACACAAATTCTCAAGACCATTGAGGAGAATTTCGGCTTGGAAGGAGCAGCTGATGAGCCAAGCCTGCTGGTGGATAGTTCTTGGCCTTCCAAAGGCCAAATTGTGTTCAATAATGTCTCAATGCGGTACAGGCCACATCTGGATTTGGCTTTGAAGAAAGTGTGTCTCTCGATTCAGCCCGCTGAACACATTGCCATCGTCGGTCGGACTGGAAGTGGAAAGAGCAGTCTTTTTCAAGCGCTTTTCCGCCTGACCAAACTGGACTCGGGTTCTATTTCGATTGACGGTGTTGACATTTCAATGATCGATCTAGAAGTGTTGAGGTCGAAGATATTTATTATTCCTCAGGATCCATTCCTCTTCAGTGGCACTATTCGCTCAAACCTTGACCCACTTGACCAGTACCGAGATGATGAAGTTTGGACTGCTTTATACAACTGTAATATCAACATTTTGGTCGATTCATTGGGCGGCTTAGATGCTGAACTGCGAGAAAACGGCAGTGATCTGAGTGCAGGAACTCGAAGTCTTTTCATGATTGCCAGAGCAGTGCTGAACAAGAAGAAGATTCTCTGCATGGATGAGGTAAGCCAAGTTTTTTACAGTGAATCTGAAGCCTCTTGTCAGCTGTGTATGTTTAATTGTTTTATTTGCGCAGGTAACTGCCAATATTGACCCGGAGACGGAAAGAGTGCTGCACGAGCTAGTGCGGACAACACTGCGTGGTCACACCATACTGCATATTGCTCATAAGCTTGAGTCCATTCAAAACTACGACCGAGTTGTGGTCATGGCGGCGGGAGAAATTGTGAACGTTTACTCGGCAGAAGAGTATATCCAGACGCACCAGCATCAGCCGCAGCCATAGAGCTTTTTTCAAAGTTTACTGTGCACTATTTTTAGGCTTCTGTTGTCTTTTTTTCAGGTGCCCGCATATGGATTGCACCAATAAAGTGTGTGTATATAAACGGCCGCGGCATTAGCGGTAATTTACGATAAATGATGGCAGTTTGAGAAGACAAAGCCTAATTAAAGCCGGAGGAGGAGGAGGAGGAGCAGATCGACAATTGCACTTGTGTGAATTGTGAAATTCGAAGCGGATTATCACACGTGTCTGACGAATAATAGTCTCTCCGCATTGTCGGCCAACTGGACCATTGGTGCGAGCTTATCGGGAGTTGTAAATCGACTGAAATGACCGAAGCCAGATGAAGATGGCCAGGAGCAGATAGGACGGCAGTGATACAGCTGCGATTGCATGTGTAGTACAGGTCGATTAATTGCCGGGCGACAGGTGAGCACAAACAATGGCCCTTTGACAGACTCTGGGGTGACTTGACAAGCGTAGCAGCGGGCTGGTCGTAAAGAGATGGCCATTGAGAGTAAGACAGCAATTGGTCACCGGTGGTTACATTTGACTTGGTGCTCAGACCACAGTGGGTCAGCATCAACTGTCAGTCGACTGACTGCGAAGATGAATTGATTGGTCTAATAATAATCGACAGCTTTCTCTCCTCCGAAAGTGTGTGTATGTGTGTGTGTGTCTTTCAGCCACTGGAGAAGTAGTAGTAGGCATAGTCAGTGGTTCGATTAGTGGACACAATGCCAACTGTGTGGGACTGGCCACTGTGCGCCCAGCGTAACGGACTGCTTTTGCTCTCGCTGCCAGTGCCGCTCTGCGCTACATTTGCTTGACGCTGCTAGGCTGCTCGATTTTATATTGCATGCTGCTGCTGCTGCACTTTGATGGCTGTAACTCGTCTCTTTCATTGGCGACGATAATGGCCGCAAGCAAGGGCGGAGAAGTTAAAGAAAGAGAGACAGAGAGAGGGAGCAGTGGAGGTGATTGTGTTTTTCTATGGATTGCGCCAAGAGCAAGAAGTTTAGCGGACGAAGCAGGACTGCTGCTGCTGCCGCTGCAGTTGGCCACTGCTTCGAATAATAGCGCCGGGCGCCAATTGCCGATTGACTGGCACGCGGTTGCAAGGTATCGGCGGCGGCGGACGACTCTTTGCCCCACACCGTTCAGTCAGTGCCTAGTGGGCGCGAAGAAGACGAAAGTGGAGTGGCTGCTGTGCTGCTGCACACTGATGATGATGATGATGATGTAAAAAAGCCGCCGAAGCAAAGCAAGTTCTCACTGCCTCAGTTGAGTCCCAGTGACTGACACACTGCCATCGACGACACAGTGTCATATTCTCTAGTAGCAGTCAAGAGCACAGCAGTTGCTATTCTCAACTCATCATTACTAGCTCGGTCATTCAATATGGTTTCACTCTGACTGAATTCTCTTTCTTTGAACTTGTTTGAAAGGTGTTCTCATTTACTCAGTTGACTGACAATCTACCTGCAAACAGTAATCAATTGATCGACTATTACTGGTGCTCATTTATCCTACTTGTGCTTTGGTTCCTTTTCAGGTATGTCTANTGCCTCAGTTGAGTCCCAGTGACTGACACACTGCCATCGACGACACAGTGTCATATTCTCTAGTAGCAGTCAAGAGCACAGCAGTTGCTATTCTCAACTCATCATTACTAGCTCGGTCATTCAATATGGTTTCACTCTGACTGAATTCTCTTTCTTTGAACTTGTTTGAAAGGTGTTCTCATTTACTCAGTTGACTGACAATCTACCTGCAAACAGTAATCAATTGATCGACTATTACTGGTGCTCATTTATCCTACTTGTGCTTTGGTTCCTTTTCAGGTATGTCTATTTTCACTTTTGACATTAAAAATTTAGTTATCAGAAAAAGTGTTTTTGAATTTTTGGCATGGGTATCATTTCTTTTTGTTGGAAATATCAGAAGCAGAAAGTCTGTAGAATGACCGCTGTCTCTGTGTCTTTACCTAAACTGATTAGGTAGGGCATTACCAACCAAAGCTTCGCGATTGTGTGCGTTACCTCAATTACAAAAGCATTTGAAATGAAAGCGTTCAGCTCAGCAAATATTTACCGCCAATCTAATTATCAAGACTGGTGGTTGTAATTAGTTAGCTCACGATAGATCGTCACGGGAGGATACTTTAGCGCCATTCACATTGATGATCTGGTGTTGAACTGAACGCGACTACCTCGACCATTTCCATGGTGATGATACTTTAGTGGCATCGTTCGTCGACGAGCACTATGAGAATCTAGGCAGAGTGTTTTTTTGCAAAAATATCGCAGAAGATGCAGGTAGTTTTTTGCAAAGCTTTGTGTGTATAGAAACTAAATACCTGACCAATCATAATTCTAAAGTGTTTTCTAACTTCTAAATTGCAACTTTACAAAACAGCCAATGGCCCAACAAAGTGACAAGGCCGAATCGCACTCCCCTGGTGGTGGAGGCTCTTCATCAGTACAGCCAGTTGTTCCCGTGACCGTCCTCGACGTGCACCACGGCAAACCAGTTCGATTACAGGTGAAAGTAATCGTGCCCGTCGCTGATCATCCTAACGTAATTTTTAACTAACAACACTTCTAAACCTTTTCAAAAGCAAAAACTAAGCTCGTCTTTATTAATAAGAAACTCTTTTTTTCTTTTGAAGTACAACTTTGTAGGCAAACTCCTTGGTCCAAAGGGCAATTCCCTAAAATGGCTTCAAGAGCAAACACAGACAAAGATGGCCATTCTTGGCCGTGGTTCAATGCGCAACAAAGAAAAGGTAAGAACAGCTACACAGTCTTGTCAATTCAGGCTCGATCAAGTGGTCAAGACTTGACCTAATGGATCAATTGAAATGTTGAAGTTGCCCTCTCACTGAGCACTGTCTCTCTCTGATAAAATGACTGCCACATTTCCTCCCAGACAATGCCTCATTAGATAGTCCTCTGCCACTGTGCGTGACCAATCGACCATGGTTGTGTGCCGGATTGTCTCACAGTGATTGTCATCGTATATCTAAATCATCTCTTTCTCCAACCACAGGAGGATGAATTACGCGAAAAGTGTGATACCAGATATGCCCATTTGCATGATGATCTGCACGTGGAGATTACCGCCTATGCGCCAGCGCCCGATGCCTATTTGCGAATTAGCAAAGCACTCTTTGAGATTAAGCGATTTCTAGTGCCGGTAAGTGATACGCACCATCACTTAAAAAGTGCATTCTGTTGTTGACTTTAAAATTGCTTCAGGACTACTACGATGAAATTCGCAAGCAGCAACTGCGTGAATTGGGCGTCATTACGGCAGAAGGGAGCGATTGTGTTCCGAACGGCGGCTTCAACAACGCCTTCAGGTAGGCACTTTGTGATCGACCGTTGCACTGATCACTTCCTCACCTGTCACTCATTTGTCCACAGTCAATCAGAGGCATCCAGTAGTCCTGTCGGTGCTGTAGTTGTTGCTGCTTCTGCTGCTGGTGGTGGTGCTGCCGGTGGAGTGCCTGGACGCAGTGATGTCAACTCGAGCACTGCCAACTCCCGAATAGCGCCGTATAGTTGGCCCTCTGAGGCCAGCGAAATCACATCATCCCCTGCTTTTTGGTCTGGGCAGTCAATTTCCGCAGTGAATTGCATCAGTCAACACCCCATTCGATCTCCCGCGGCAGCAGCAGCAGCTGTATCAGCAGTGCCATTCAAAGTAAAGCCAGTCAGTTCACTTCATCAAATGAAGCCGTACGCCAGGCCTATTCATCACACTTAAACTTACCAGTCTTCTAGCGTCATTACTGTATTATGTAAATTTTCACTACAATCGTCGATTTTTGAATCTTTATTTTAAAAAAGGTGACCATAGCAAATGTGTAAAGAAGGAAGATTAAGGAAAAGGATGCTTCTTGTAAATGAAAGCAAAGGCAACAATGCGCAATGGTTCAATGAGGTAATGAAGAAGGGGTACAATTTGGGTAAATGAGGTAGAGTACAAAAGGAGTCGTCATTGCGTGAGTGTATAATGGCAAGTAAGAACAGTCAACCAACAAAGGATATACAATAATTTGCATCATATTAAATTGGAATCAGAAAAAGAATATAAGAAAATAACCGGGGCAAATTGAGGTGGTAGTGGTGTGTTGATGTTTGTGAACAGTCACATGAGGTAGAGAAGGTTGCAAGAAGATTAATGTCAAGTAAATCACTATAAAGTGGTAATGCTGTTTGTTGAAATAAGGAGTAGAAAAAGTAGTAACAGCATTGCGACAATTTTTGATCAATAGTAAGAGGTGTTAAATTAAAACGGAAAATAAAATTTTGTCCTAATTGATAAGGAAAAGGAAAAATCTGTCTAAAAACAAGACTAGGGCAATATAGAAGAAAAGGTAAATAGTAAAATAGATATGTCAGGTACAATTTAGTTCATAAGGAAAATAAAAACAAAACTGAGAATTTAGAAAGTAGTAACAGAATTTGGCAAGGAGTTAGATTAGTTTAGAAAAATCAAAACTGGGAAGTGCCTGAATGTGGTATCAATCGATCAACTATCAAAAGGCACCGGAGTTAGTTGGTAGTGACACACGCCTTCAGACGACTTCCGCATTGAGGTAGAGGGGGACAACAAAATAAGGAATTCGTTGGCAATGGCGCCACGAACACGTTGGCAATAAGAAGAGGTAGTTAAGGAGAAGGAGAATAATAATACTTAAAACAGCAAACATAAAGGATAATGAAAAGTATCGAAAAGAAGGCAAAATCACTGTTGGTTGAAGGTATTTGCGAGCTTACTATAGTTTGACGAGAATGAGACAAAGAGAGCACCGGTTGAGAGAAAGAGAGAGAGAGAGCGAAAAGGAGCGGAGAGTGAGAAGAGTAAAAGGCGAAATGTGTCAGTTGAATGGACTGTGAAAGCGAGTGGCCACATGCTGACCACTGTCGCCGAAGGGCGCTGATGAGCTGCTGATGGCGGGAGCAGTGCCGCCGAAGGCGCTGGCCATGCCGGCAGCTGCCGCGGCCGCTGCGCTGTACTCCAGCTCAATGCAGGTGTTGTTGAAGCCCTCGGCAGTGATCGTCTTGAAGGATAGATTGCCGGCGCCATTGCCGGGCAGGGCGGCACCGGGCAGGTGACCTGAGTTGAAGGCTTCGTGGTGAGAACTGCTACTGCCAGGGTAGTTGAGAGAGCTGTTGCCCGGTGGTGGCTTGTAGTCGTAGCTGAGGTAGGCGTTTCCAGGGGGAGGCAACTGCAGGCTGGCGTACTGGCTGCCGCCCGCACTTGCGTCCGGTGGGGGAGGTAGAAACTGGTTGAAACTGGTGGCCACTGCAGTGGACGCGCCGTTGATGTTGTAGTTGAAGTTGGAGCTGGCAGCAGCTGAGGTAGGGGACTCATAGGTAAATGAACTATGGTAGTTTCGTGGGTGAGTAATGGAGGCAGTCAATGCGGAGGTAGAGGAGTGAACATCAACAAGTGTCATCTTAGGAAAGGGCGTCAATGGTGAGGTAGAAGTTGATGAAAGCATTATGGTGGAGTTGCTAAAGTGCGGATGTGTCGAGGTAGCTGCTGCGGCACGGTTCAAGCTGTTGTTGAAGCCGTTGTCGTGCAAGTAGTAACTAGTGGAAGGTGAGGTAATTGAGGTAGTTGTGAGGGTGGCGTTCGAGGCACTGCTGGTGGACGGCTGCGCAAAGTGATGGTCTCTTCCAGTGTCGCCAGTTTTGCGCCGTGACCGGGAGGACCCCTTGCGGGTGGACGGTCTTTTCGGTGCTGTCGATTCGGTGACGAATGATGAAGAGGCACCGGGGGACACACGACCATTTCGTCGTTTGAAGGAGCGAGTGTCCTGGTCATGGCTCTTCTTGGCGTGTCGCACTAGATGGTCTTTACGGCCAAATTTTTGAGTGCAGAACGGACAGGGAAAGTTGCGAACACCGGTGTGCACTACGAGGTGTCGTTTCACGTCTTTTTGCGTGAAAAAGCGACCTGTTGGTTGGCAAGGGAACGAGAAGAGTGCATGAGAGGAAAGTTCACTAGGTGGCAACGACTGACAGCCACACAGCCGTCACCCAGAGAATGAATTAGCGGAAAAGCGACCACCGCCGTCGCCAGGACAGCAAATTAGTCGCTTAGGCAGCCGTGTCATCTCCCCCCGCTGACTTACTTTCGCAGTGATCACATTGGAATCGGCGCTCGGATGGAGGCCGCTTAGTTGCTCTATATTTTGGCTGACGCTTCTTGTTCTTCAGTTTGCCAGCAGTGGCACTCTCCTGCTCCAGTGTGCTGGACGAGGCCGCCTGGTCCTCTTCCCCGCCGACCGCCCCACCCTCCGTCCTGTACATGCTAACAGGTAGTTGGGTGGCGGTGTAGGCGGCTGATGAGCTGGCTGTCGAGTAGTCAACTCCAGTCGCATCACGGGCACTCATTATCAACAGCAGCAGCAGCAGTGAGCGATGGCGGAGACACCATGGGCACCGGGGTGATCCAGCGAGGAGAGCAGAGGAAGAGCGTCGTCAGCGAGGTGGAAGATGCAACTAAAGGCAGCCTCCTCCAGCAATCTAAAGAGAAGAGCAGAGCGTGAGTGAGTGTGCACCGTTCCAGGACGGTCCAACAGTGTGTTCCACTTACCGATGGCGGTGGCACCACGAGAAATCAACAAAGGCCTGTCCGTCCTGAGACGACGTTGTGCAGTAGTGCTAGTCGTGCGGTAGTTGTGGTAGTTGCTTCGTATCCAGGGTTAGCATGAAGCATCATGCTCTCAAAGACAGCACCACCAGAGAAAGAGAAAGTGACTGCTGCACCGACTTTGGGTAGGCTGCGCACGTAAAGGCCTACCTTTCACCGAACAGCTGCCATAGTACGGGGAGAGTGACTGCCTTACGTGCGCAGTCGACCAAAATCAGACACCACGTTCAAGGCCAAAAAAACAATTGCGAAAGAAAGGCGCTTACAGACTTCTGCTGTTGCTGCTACACTGACAACTGCTGCTTATGCTACTGCTTTAACATGGCCATCTGCGAAGATGGGAAAAGGCAGAAAACAGCCAAAGTGCTTACTGTGTGGCATTGCTGTTCCTTCTACTGCTGCCATTGCTGTGAAAAAAGTGTGTCTGTGCCCAGAGAAAGGGGGTATTAAGGCGAAGAAACACTCGAATATTCGGCAGACACTGCACCAATTGGCCCACTGACTTCACTGACTGACCCCCCCCCC